CCGAACCAGGGACCTTCAGATTTGTAGGCGCGCATTCCGTTGTACATCACGGTGTTCCAATCCTCACCGGTCAGCATCTTGAAAATTGGAGGGAGGGGGGGAGGGGAGGGAGGGAAACAAGGCATTAATTTAATTATGCAATTCCCAAGTCTGGTTGTGTGTGGTCGCTCTCCAAACTGCGTTGTGAATTAAACCAAACTGATGAGGAGGTGGGATACCGTTAACTCCCCTTTGTAAGATAGTCTTAGTCTTAGAGTGTTGGGAAAATTCACTGATAAGCATAGAAAAACTGTAACCTCTTTATCTGCAGCTGGGACCGCCAACTGATTGGCCACTTTATTCCAGTTGACTTCTGACTTCAAACTACCATCACCCCCACTGTATGTCATATTCCACCACTTCCACAGTACTCACCTCGCATTTTTCTACTTATTCTACCTTTGAAACACTTCTGCCCCCCCCCTCTCGACTTTTTGTCACTTTGATGTTCCTCCTCCTCTCTGTGAAGCCTGAGTCAACTAAAGGGCTAATTGTAACCATCAAGACGCCTGCCGTTTGATATAAATAACTATTCATACAATCGCACTTAAATGCAAAGTCAATTCAAAGATGCAACGAAATGGATAGAATTTATTTGATTAGTATTGCAAATGTAACGCTCTTATATGCAAAGTACTTTTAATTACAATGCATTGGATTGGTAAAATGCCTATTAAAGCAATGTTAAGACTGATCAATATTTATGTTGAACGTAAAGTATTGGTACCAGTATCTGATTCCTTTACCCATATTACTGCCTCTCGTTCTTCTCGTATTTCTCTCCTGGCGACCTCTGAGGTTATGTTAAGATTCTGACAGAGAATGAAGAAGACAGTTTCGTTATTATGAAATAAAAAGCAGAAATTATTTAATCTCCAGGAACGTAAGACCAATCGGTTTCCAATTGATGAGAATAGAGGAAAGAGTAATCAAGTAATTCGAATAGAATTTAATGGAAATGTCCGTTTCCAGTACTTAAGTGATTGTATTTAGGGCGATACAAGTACACCCCCCCCCCCCCCCCCAAGGAATTCCAAGGCCGAACTTAATACGGACAATGAACTAACCTGAAAGACCGTGATCATAGATTGGGCAACTCCATCGAAGTGGCTTCGTGGTTTGATGACATTGGGGAAGTTGAAGGTACCTCCAAACCACTGCATTCCGAGGAGGGAGCAGATAAGAATGAAGAGGAAGAGGAGAAGCAATAGACCCGCGACAGATCGAATCGATTTCAGGAGACGATTAACAAGACCTCGCAATCCCGCCCAGTAACTGGAATTACAAAAATTAAATCCAATTTAAGTGGGTGCAAAATATATTGAGTTAAATGGGGTTGTTTCATTTCAATATATATATCCAATTTTGAAACGTTTCCAAGTGTACCTACTCTTGCTCATGAATAAGTGCCATCTTAGTTTGAATTTTGAATCGCCTCCCTTTAAATTATCATTTTCACGCCACAGCAGCGCATTTTTATTTCAATTTTCAGTTGTGGAAAGTAACTGAAACTGAATAACAACAAGTCTAACAACTGACGAGAACATGAGGATCAAAAGGAGATGATGAATGCAAAATCAAGGTCCAACTGGACTAAGGTTTGATATTTATTTATTTATATCAAATGGCAGGCGTCTTGATGGCTATCATTAGCCCTTTAGTTGACTTCAGGCTTTACAGAGGGGAAGGAGCATCAAATTGAAAAAAGTCGAAAGGGGGGGGAACAGAAGAGTGTTTTAAAGATGTAAAAGAGAGACACAAAGGTAGAAAATAGGTGAGGTGAGTACTGTGGAAATAGTCAACAAAGGTGAGGTGAGTACTGTAAAAATAGTCGAATATGATATAGAGTGGGGTGATGGTAGTTTGAAGTCAGAAGTCAACTGCCGATCAATAGACTTTTTGCAAGTCAGAAGTCAACTGCCGATCAATAGACTTTTTTGTCTTTGAAGTCAGAAGTCAACTACCGTACAGTGGGGTCATGGTAGTTTGAAGTGAGAAGTCAACTGTAGGTGAGGTGAGTACTGTGGAAATAGTCAAATATGACATAGAGTGAGGTGATGGTAGTTTGAAGTGAGAAGTCAACTGCCGGTTTAAAGACTCTTGCCGTATGAATATACGTTACCCAGGGTGCACCACGTGGAGGTAAGTCTATTGAAAAACGAATGCCGAGTGATAGAATTTTTGCCGTATGAATATACGTTACCCAGGGTGCACCACGTGGAGGTAAGTCTATCGGACACCCCAGGTTTGATATTGAATTCAGGAGACGGTGCAGTCGCCAATGAAGAAGCACAACCCCCCAAATACAGAGACGGATAGAGATAAATTGAATATCCACTAAGATAATTATTGACCGTTTGGTGTTTAAGAGCAAACAGCCGCTTTTAATGCTCGATAAAATTAGGCAAGAGTTGAGCTGAACACTTGGGAAGGAAAGAGAGGGAGAAGGAGAAAAGGAAATAGAAAGGAAGTGGAAGGTTTCAGTTCTGAGTGGTTGGTGGGGCGGGGAGAGGGGGGGGACAAACCAGATTGTAGAAACAATACCATCGACTGATCTCGCCTTCTTTTTTTTTCTTAGACAGTCAGGGAAGAGGCAAGAGCCATCAGTGAAAATTTCGTGGAATGAACGTACCTTTGATTCAGAATGCTCGAGCGCTTCTGTATTGCTCCATTCCATTCCTATACAATTTGCACTTATGCGACTATTACGCGTTCCGAAATGCAAATTTACTGTGATTCGTCACTTGCGCTTTAGTTGATGTTTGTCATGATAGTCGGTTTTGACAAGTCGAGTGCTTTTTTTTGGCTCAAAATGTCAAGATGTGAAAGCCATCCCAAAGGACCCATTGAACAACCTACGCTCTTATCGCATTCTAATTCACTTAACCTCGCGTAATGAGAGTGACTCCATTCATTTAGGACTTACCTACAAGACAATCAACTCTCTCTCTCTCCCCCTATTTTTCTTATTTTATCGTGAGTAGGTTTTCAAAGCATACTGTCCAATGAAATTGCAAGTTTTGTTAAGTTGTCAATAGTGTTGAAGTGATCTCGTTTAAATGGTGGATAATGAGTGCGCAATGCTACCAAAACGAATTAAGGCAACACGAGCGCCACCAGAACAATCTAGAAAGCACCCATGTCCTGCCGAACAAAGCGGGACGTGTGGGCAGAGGTCTCCCAGCCAATCAGAGGGCAGTATTTTTTTCAGCGTAGTGTTTATTGCCCTCCATCTCCATTGCCTTCCTTACATAAACTCTCTCTCTCACTACG